CGAGTCATCTCAAATTTGATTTATTCTGGTTTCTTGACAGCCTTATGTGCTTCCTGTGATAGCTTTTGGATTTGTAGCAAAACGTCTTTAGATTGAAGTTCACAATGCCAAATCTCATCCCAAAGCACAGGTGCTCAGTAAATCTGGGAAAGTCTGAGTGGTATGAAATTTGTGTCTGGTGGGGATGTGTTGTTAAAAAAAATTGATATGGTCTGAAGGCAATTGTATTTTTCGCTCTCAAGTTAGCAGAATTGTTCATAAATGTCCAGAACAATATTTAGGTGAAACTATCAGTGAACTGTATTTCATTGGAAGATTGTGAAATACTGCTGCAAGGCAGTAAGAACCAGTTGGACAAGTTTTAGTCAGGAGTTGTTTTTGTAGTTCACCCTTCCTTTAGGCAAAGTGGTGCACCAGAAAACTCTGTTCCTTCCCACTGCCTGAGAAGGGTTATTAAGCAGAAGATGAAAGTGGAATAGCTGCTTATGCTCATTCAGTGGCAGCCGTGTGTCTGCTGATGTGTTTGAGCTGTAGCCATCCAGGCTGCAGATTAGTGCAGCTTCCAGGACTGTCCATACAAATCTCATATTTATATTATTGCTGGGAGGGTTGGAATACACAGACTTTAATTCTGCAATCCCACTGGATTTGTCTGTGTGAGCAATGTGATAAACTTCCTCAGCATTGTCCCGGCTGTAGAAAATCTGGCAGAAACAAGTCCTGAAGAAGATTATGTTAATGCTTGATTGAAAAAGCAGATTACATGTTTGATGGCAAAAATCATCCAGAGAGTATATGCACATGAATTTGCAGAATCTTATGAACAGCCTAATACAATTGCAGGCTAGAAATGAGATTCAAAGGAGGAAAGTGTTTCTTACAGCAATTGTTTTATCAGCATCTATTCTGTCACAAAACTGAGGCTGAGTTCCCCTATTCTCAATGTCTTTCTATCATACATACCAAAGAAGTATCTTTGATTTTTTTTCCCTATGGTTACAGTGTATAGAAAATTTATTTTTCCCAGAGTGTAAACTAACATCTTCCTATAAAATGTTAGCAAGATAGAAGCATAATATGCTGTATTAAATAATGCATTTCCTATACATATACAAATATATATATTACTATGATAACACATCACACATTTTTACATAACAAAGTCTCTATTTTCCCACAACATAACAATATTAAGATAAAAATACATATAAAATCACGTAGTCAACAAACTAAACCAGTTTTAAATGTAGATTCTGAATGAGGGAAGGCACTTGTCCAGCTGGCCCCTTTCCACCTGAGGTGCACACACAGTGTGGGCTGCAGGAGCTGGGTGCAGAGTGAAGGCAGCAGGCTCACACATGGCTGTGGCAGCTCCAGCACAAGTGCTCATTGCCCAGCTCCTGGGGCAGACTTCTGGCCTTGTCCATGGCTTTTTGCCTGCTTAGTGTGCGCTCAGGGAGCTCTCAGCTCCTCTCCCTGTGCAGCCACCCAGAGAGCAAGGCCAGAGAGCTCAGCTCTGTAAAAAGTAACTTGGAAGAAAAAGCCATGGCAGTTTTTGACCTGATCAGTTTATTGCACCACTGCACGGCTGGTCACACCAACACAAGAGTGAGCAGCGGGCCAGGGCAGGAGCTGAAATCCACGTGAAGGAGGAGCAGCTCCTCATCAGGATTTGGTTGCCAAAAGAGTTGCTTTTGACATTGTAGCCAGTGTCACTTTTGCAGCCTGTCCAGCCTCTTGAGGGGACTGCTAGGCAGGAGCTCAGAAGGCTGTTCAGATACAATTCCAAACAAATTCTTCTTCTGCAGTTATTTTCAATTTGTTGGAGAAAATGGTGCAGACACCACCATCCTGAGGTGTCCCTGCTCTCCAGCTCTCAGCTGCCTGTGGAGTAGGGGCATTTCCTTTGTGGGATTACAACACTTGTGCATGGTCATGCTTTTGCTTCTTTCTCCCCCAAACCCTTACAGCAAAGATCAAAACATGCTCTGTTCATGGGTACCACATCTCTCGGCCATAAATCACCACACACTGAAGTGTCTGCACCAGCAGTGTGAGTGACCCTACCACATTCTGAAAAAATCCACACTGCAGATCTACCTCTCTTCATGGTCTCAGCCCTGCAAAGTAATAAGTGCTATTTAAGGGACCCTGTCCATGAATTTCCATCCATTGCTCTGTTTGCTAGCACTAACAGGATCTAGAATCAGCCGATATCAAAAATTCTGTGGGGGGGGAACATAATTTCTTCTATGCTTTTATCACTGAATTACCCATGCACTGTCTAATACTAGTACTGTTTATTGTTGCCATGACCAGTTAATCTGCTGTAAGTGCTGGTTTTATGGGACTTTTGTACATAAATTTGATTAATGCTTTCCATGAAAGTCCCATGAAATATAATTTTATTAAAAACATATTTGAGGAGCTAAGGGAGCAATGCAAAAATCTCACTTCTTGCATTCTCTAGATTTTGCATTAGTAGCATCAGTCTTTGTTGCTGTTTGTTATGATATTTTCTCTAATATTATAGTGAAATTAAATTCTTCACTAATGAAGTGTACTGTAACATTCTGTATTTTTCCTTTCTGTGGCAGATGTAAATTAGTCACCAGGTGTTCCTGATGTTTTTTCAGTTTATCACCATTAGGTAACTGCTTCATGAATGTCTCTCTGACAAAATGTTTAACTTGCATTTGATAAGGCAAGCAAAGCTTCATCACTTTGTGATAAGCACTGTGTGCTCGTAACAGCTCCTGAGGATGTGGCAGCACTCTGTGATTCTCTCTGCCTGGTGTCCTGTTAGTGCACCAAATTCAGGATTCTTAGGAACCACCTACCTTGTTTTGCTCTGAATCTCTGAGGTGAACTCTTTCTCCACACAGCACAATGCAAAACCTTACTTTTAAAAAAGGCAATTTCAGAGCTTGGGTCTGAAACAGACAATGGTTTTTGGTCCAACATGGTGACACATAAGAGAGAACCAGCATATTTTTTACAACTTCTCCTGTCTTCATTTTAGCTAATACTGTAATTATATTTTCCTGTATTCTTTCCAGCAGCTCATGCAAGAAAGTACTAGATGTTCCCATGCTATTCCATTTTTTATATAAACAATTCCATAATTGCTGGCTTAGTAAAGTCTGGTTTCTTTTAAGCATGCACTGTGATATTGTTCAGCTGTTTCTAGCACTCATCTGTGGTACATAAATCAAGCTGGATTGAATTCAGTTCAGGTAAAAGACCAGATCTACAGTAAGGCACAAGATTTCACTGCTTAATTCTTTGATACCCTGTTTTCTCAGTGAAATCTGTAATTCTCACAATAAGGAGGGAGTTATATGTTAAAAAATGTAAGGGCAGTTAGTAGAATGAATTTAAACTCAGTTTTCTTAATTACCTTTTGTAGATGCACTTAATAGATGTTCTCTGACTGCACATCTGGTATTTTTCTCAGTGAAATCTGTAATTCTCACAATAAGGAGGGAGTTATATGTGAAAAAACGTAAGGGCAGATACTAGAATGAATTTCAACTCGGTGACAATTTTCTTACTTTTCTTAATTACCTTTTGTAGTTCTCTGACTGCACATCTGGTACATGCAGACCACTGGTATATGTTCAAACTTAACCAGAATTATTGTAGTTTAATGGTTCTCAGTGAACCTTCTCTGAGTTTAAGGAGCTGCCCATTGTAAACCTTTCCTGTCAATTTAGCTGACATTTGCATTGACAAATTTAGTTTTTCCTAAATATCTTGCTGGTGTGAACTCGCAGAGGCTGAAAGACTCACTGCTGATCCCTTGGAATCACTTGTTTCCCACTTGTGGTGGTGGGATGAGAAATTTGGGTATTGTGCATGGACAGTCAGTCTACCAAAGAGGAGAAATAGTTAATGCTGTCTTAGTTCACAGATCAGAACCCCACTGATGTTTTAGTTCTTTGACAAGTAAGGCAATTGCCCTAAAAATTCAGTTCACTTTTAGTGCTGCAGGCAAGGAGACACATCTCACTGGTGAGTGTCAAGGCAGCTGTTTGTGCATGTTCAGCTGCACAGCCTGGCCCAGCTGAGCTGGTGATAGCAGCTTACAACTTTGTAAATAGTTTGGGCTGCTGAGATTGATACCTGTGACTTCAGAGCAAAAATTGGTTAGTCAGCCTCACTGATAAAAAATCAGTGGATTACAGTATCTTTGGACAAACCTTTAAGAAGCCCTAAGCTTATACCCAGGATGAGTGCTGGCTCTCAGACTGGAGTACAATAGTTTTTTAAAGGATCACTATGAATATGAACAAAATTATCATAAAGATCAGTGAATGATGGGTCAGACAGAGTCATTTAAAAGGCTTCAGTGCTCCTGCAGGCCTTGACCTGGTGAGCTCTAGTCAATCAAAATACATATTTGTAGTTGAATCTTGTTATAGAGGCATCCTGAATTTGATTTTTTGTTTGCATCTCTGCTTGTAGAAACAGAACATACAGAAAGAGCACAGCACTGAGCAACCAGGAATGATGATCAGTCATTTTCCAGTCTTTGATTCCCATTCTACTGTGTAGTACCAGTGAGATGTGTTTACATCAAGGCAAATAAACTCTGTGTGCTGAACAGGTTATCAGTACCCACCTCTGTCTTCAGCCTTGAGAATAAAAGGATTGAAGTATCCTGATCTAACACAGTGCTACAGGCAAGGGGGACACAAGAAATCCTCAACCTGTAGATACCCCTTCAGTTACCTTGGGCAGGGGTACAGGACGTTTTCAATTTTACAAGTTTTTACATCTATTTTAAGTGCAATGGTTTAAAGGCAGTAATCAACAGCACTACAGACTTGAGGAGCACCAGGTATTTCAAAATTATTGCTGCAATTAAATCCGTCGTCCCTGCTATATCCAAGAGAACAGCAGATAGGCAAAGTCACTCAAAGGCCTTTGGAAATGGACTTTTTGGAAAACAGGTATGAGATTGGGAGGAAAAAAAAGGAAGATTAATCTCAAGTCACCTGGATTTTAAGGAGATCAATCCTTGCAAAATAAAAGCTCAGTTTCCCACCAGTGGGTTGCAATCATCTTGTTGATTTCGAAGCTTTTTCTTGAAGATGGATATTGATGTGGATGGTTGGTAAAATATACTCCAGATCTCTCCAGCAGTAGTGACATCACTGCAATCCTCTGCTTCAGCTGCAGCTGGAATCTGGTGGGACCTAGGAAACAAGAGTGAATTCACTCTTGTGTTAATGTGCTTGGCTATTAATGTGTCTGCACTGGGAGTGCTCACAGCTTCCACTCCATCTGTGGCACTTCTTTCTGCCTGCTGTGCAAAATGCAGGTTTTTGGAGTGTTTCTTGGTTTGCTTGATCAAATGAAAGGTTAGGTACCCTTTTGCCACCCTAATGACAGCAGTGACATTAAGCTAAGAGGGCTCTACAGACTGTAGTTGTTATGATAGTTGCTATTAATACAAATTAATTTCCTTGTATATTTTTAAGCATATTTGTACTATGTAAGTACAATATTCAACACTTTGATTTGCTGATAACTCACCCATCATTTCACTCAGTGAGTGTCCATCTAGAGGACACAAAATTTACTTGATAGGAGTGTAGAGGTTTTAATTTTATCCCTGCAAAGAATTATCACAATTTGACCTCTTCTCACTAAACCTGGATGTCTGATTGATAACATTTTCCTCCTTCCCCCTAAAGTGCAAATCTTGTCAAATCAACAGCAGAAGAGATAGTCTATTGGCAAATGCTATCCTAACAGATTGGAAAGTTAAAAATGTGCTTATTTAGGGTCTTCTATGAAAATACAAATATGTAATAACTAACTTGGGTTGGAATATGGCCAGTCTGACAATAGGAAGGCAGAGAGGAGCCCCAGGTTTGGTTCAGAGTTGAGATCTTGGTTCTCTGTGCTTGGTTTTGCTCCACACTCACCTCATGGTAACATGCAGAAGTATCTTTGCTATTATGGCTGTAACACTTAGGATGAGCAGTGCTGTGAGGCTGTATATTGTCCATTCTGCAAAAGAGAAGAGGGGGAGCTCTCAGTACATTCATTTGTTTACAGTTTTTACAGTAAGAATATTGCATGAAAGGAACAAACAGCCTCGTGATCCTTTATTCAAATCTGGAATTTGACAATGCCTTAAACCTGCAAGTATTTTCTGCAGACTGGCACAAACCATACAACTTTCAGTCAGAACTGCTTTTTTCTCTTGCAAAACTCCTCCCAATAAAATTGAAAGCTGGCAAAATTCAAAGCATATGCTAGTAAAATTATCTAGGGAAGGAAGCAGGAGTTCCCTTCCACCCACTGCCCCTTCCTCAAAGCATTGCCTCTACATGATAATTTGAATAGTATTTTTGGAACTGCATGAAATCCAAGGGTGCAGTTTCTGTTGGTGTTCCTGGGCAGTTTAACACTAGGCAGCTTAGGTGTAACTGTGGTAAGCCAGCATTAGGCTGGGGCTAGTCCCAGACTGTTCCTGGGCATGTTCTGCACCTTGGCTGGTTTGGGTGTGCAGCTCATGTCTCAGGTTTGGGATGCAGACAGCATCCCAAACCAAATCCCAAATCCCAGCACTGCGGGAGTGTCCCCAGTGGGATTGAGGCCCAGCTCCAATAATGCAGAAAAGCAGATGCCCAGGGTGGTTTAACAACAGGAGAGAATAATGGTGATTTTCACCAAGAGTGCATTTCCAGCCTTCAATTATTTACAATTCAGTAATTTCTGAAATCATTGATGTCCTGAACTGAGTTCTAAACGCATGATAGTTCTCAGTGACACCTCCCCTACACCCATTACCTTGTCTAGTCCTCTTTGTGTTATTGATGAGGCTTTTGTTAATTGGGATAACAGGGATGCAACCAGCACTCAAGCTATTCTAGACTCTACAAGTAAAGTTTGCTCTTTTTTCAGCAACTTGTGCCCTTCTGTGGCATGCAGGTCACTCAAGCTGATTTCAGTAAGGAGGCTGCTCTGACTCACATACTTTGATATGCTCTCATTCTCAAGAACTCATCTTCACACTATTTCTGACAGGCTGAGAAGCGTTTTGAAATGTAATGAGAGAAGCCCAGTTAGTGCTAATTAGACTGAATGAAAATTCATCTCTCAGTAAGATGCACAGTGAATCTGCTAACTTTGAGGAGGCAGCAAAGGAAATAGTGACTCCAGGTTTTGCTTTGGCAAAATGTTTTTTCCCATTTCCACATTTTACTGTGTCATTACCAGGCATGGAGCTAGTTGGATGGCTTGGGCTGGTTGTGATGACATAGAGTATCTTTGACGACCGGGCTGCATTGATGCTGAGATTTGCTTGTTCATTTATCCTCTCTGGAAGGGTGTGATTCACTGGGATCTTGTTTTGGTGCACATTGTCCTTCACAGCTGAAAACACAGCAGTATGATTACAGTAACAATCTCTTAACAGGGGTAATTAGACTTTATTTTGTGCTTCTACACAGACATGCTGCTCTCTGGTTTACGTAGGAGAACTCAAATAATCAAATGATATCTGATTTGTTAAAAAGCCTGTACTTCACCACGTTGGGGTTCTCAGAGTTTTTCTGGAAGTTGATTGTTCATCATAACAGCAGGTACAACTCAAGGACCAGAACATTTTATCCTGATGACTTTCAGGAGGAGACTGTTGGGAGGAGCCAAGATGAACCAACATGCAGATGGATTATTGTTTGTTTTGTTTTCCTTTCTCATTTTCCAATCTGTTTTAACACAAAAGTATAGACTTGAATTTTGAAATGATGAAATAAATAGCAAAGTACAAGTTTTGAAAACCTGTGTTTTGCTATTTATGATGTAGCTGACTGGAATGTTCTAAACAGAGAAATTTTGGTGAAACTTTCTCCCAGTGAGTAGTGGCAACAAGAGAGATTAAACACCTGTTTGGTAAGAGCTGAAAATTTGTTCTTTAATTGCCAATTCAGAAGTCTCCTGTGTGAATTAAATGCTTCACTGAAAGGTAGAAACAGCAAAGGTAGCCTCTTACCTCTATACCTGATAGCAAATCCCTGGGCTTGATTGATGTCATCCGAGAAAAAGTACAAAATGACAAAATCCAAAGAGATGTTAAAGCTGTGGGGAGGCTTGTTCTTGCCATTAAAACGAGCCAGAACGTGGTAGGTGTAACCATCCAGCAATTCCACCATATCTGTAGCATCTTTGATTTCGAAAAGGACAAAGCTGAAGTGGATTTGAGATGCTCCTGGAACTTGTATGGTCCAATAGCAGACTTTGCCTGTGCCATATGTGTCAGGGAAATCTGGGGAATAGATCACAGCTGTAGCAGAGGTGTAATTCCCTCCACAGGCACCAATAAGGGCTGTGAAAACAAGAGGAAAGGGAGAAAAATGGGAAGAAAGAAAGAAAGAAGAGGTAATACATTAATTTTTGCAAAGTTTTAGCACCCTGTAGATTCTAATACTTAAATGTGACTTGAAGGAACAGGCTGGCTAGGCCAGCAGGATGCAGTCTCTGCGGCTGCTCCTTCCCTCCCTCAGCACTGGGAGCACAGCTTTTGCTGTCTTTTCTTGCCTCATTACTCTGGCCTACACATCAGTCTTGAACACTGCAACTTTCCTTTGTCCTGTGTGTAACCATTACCCTCTCCTGCACCCCTGCAGAAATGGGATGAGATAAATCACTGATTCAGGGGCTTCCACTCCATCCCCATCAGGCAGGGAGGAAAGTGGATTAGTGACTATTAGCTCTCACTGCTTAATGACTGATATTCCTTCACAGCTGTATGAAACTGAAAATTTAAACTCCAGTGAATCCAGAGAGAACTCAAATGCCACCAACTGACACTGCATATCCATACATGCACATACCATTTTTTACCCTCTAGTAAGATCAATTCTCAGGGAGTTTCTGACAGCTGACTTAGTACCACTTGTGAAGAAAGTGAGAGAACCTCTGGAGCATGAGCAAGCATCATTTCTTGGAAGAGCTAATTCACATTATTAATGGATAAGTATTTTAGGCGGAAATGGAAAGCAGCTTTAATTTATACCGAATTGAGGTGTTTTGCTGTTTGGTGTGCAACAGTTCTCTTTGTTTTGAGCCTTTTCCCTAATTTGCTGAACATGTGAGGCCTCCCCTTTGGGAAAAGCTGAGCCTGCTTCAATACTTACTGTCAAAAAGAATGACTCTGCCGTCCCCACCGCAGGGCTGAGTGTGGTCTCCAAAGCAAACACTGTTGCATTCCGTGCTGGCTGCCTCCCCATATCTCCAGTAGTCAGGATTATTTCCACAGAAGCAAGCATAACCTGATTCCATGCCTGCAAACTTTGACAACAAAGATGCATAAGGAAGGGAGGAATAGTATTTGAAGGAGTGACAGCGGGAGGCTGTTTGAGCAAGAAAGCTGGCAGCAGAAAATGTGTGTTTTGGAGAAGTATGATTAGTCAGAGGAACCACCACAGGCTATTTTTGTCTGGGCTGTCAGGATGCTAAAGATTAGGGGGAAAGATGGAAAGGAGGGCACCCTGACACTCACAATTGCAGTAAGCAACTATGTTTTCTCCTGGTGTTATTCATTAGTCATTTGTCCAGATTCCTCTGGATGCAGAGAGGGGGCTTGATCTCCATGGTGAAAGTGCAACTTTAGACCTCCCAAAGGTTAAAAATAATGGGGAAGAGGAGAAATAGACAAAGACCTCTAGGCATGTTGCCGTTTTGTCTTTGAAAACGTGTTGTAAATGGATGTCAAAGCAATCACCTTGAACTGCTGACTGCGGCAGGAGCTGATGCACGTTTGGATGGTGAGCTTGTTGGAGGTCTCGCTGGTGCCAGTCAGAGGTGGTGGCTCCCCATGGTCCTTGTAACAGCCCAGATTTCCTGGCACTGGCAAGAGTGACACACAGCAGTCATTCCAAAGTGCCTGTAAGCATCCCAGAGTGCTTCATGCACTACCTGGTCACTGAGCAGCTCTCGCTGTGCTCTGGGCTCTATGGGAACTCTTTGTTAATCTTTGTTACTCATGCTCTGTATGATTCTTGTCATATTTTCCAAACACGCCCAGGGATGAGTGATGGGACAAAAGAGTATCATATCATCTCAGCAATATACCTGTAAGACTGTCTAGCTGGTTTCAGTAAGCTGCAGCAAAATATAGAGAATAAATACCTTGTTCATTTCTCCTGAAAGAGGCAATTTAAAAAAACCCAAGGTATTAAGTGGGGGGTTCACAGGGGTTGTGTTTCTTGGGGTTTTTTTTACTACGGGCATGCATACTCTGAAAATAGAAATTAAACTGTTTGATTTCTGTCTGACCTCCAAACATGACATTCTGGAAGTTTTCAAAACAGGATATTTGAGGAAGGGAACCTAAACTGATTTAGAATGGAGTTTGGCAAGTTTTATGGGAGGGACTAATGTAGGGGAAATTCCTAATATTTAAAACTTGAATTCTGATATGAATCTGAAGCAGCATACAAGGAGATTAAAAATGAGCAATATTACTTTAAGGAAACAACCCATCTATTTACATTAATATGATGTTTCAAGGGTCCTTGGTCACTATGGGAGATCAGAATTTTCTCCCTTCAAAAAACCATTGCTCTGTTGTTTTTTTTTTTGGTTTTGCACTTTTCATCAAAGCACTGGAATTTAGCCATGACCACCCCTGGAGAGGATGTGGAGTACAATACAGTGCTGGGATAATGGCATAAAATTATCCCTTGCCCACTTGTCATATCTATTCACATGCTTGAAATTAAATCTGTTACTAGCTCCATGTTAAGTTTTATTCCTGTGCCAGATTGATACGGATTCTTTTTGTCCACCTAACTGCCACAGCTCTGACATGATGTGCTCAGAGACCTGTACGAGTGTTTTATTTATGTAGTCATTGGTTATTAGAGTACCCAGTAAACTTATTATAAATAATGACATAACGTTGCTTGAAATACTGTTCATAAATTAATTTTGTTCTCTAAGAATACAATTTCAATTATAAATACTTGCATGGAGTTATGGCTTTGATATGCCCTGCAGCAACATTCATATAAGTACTGAGACTTCAAGTTACAGCCTGATTTTACATACCTTTGGAAATCCCCACTTGCAGCCCCACCCCAGCTGAGTACAGCTGGGCAGATAACTCATGAGAGAGTTCATTCTTTTTTGTATTGTGCGTGATTTCACAGGCCTGAAAAAGCTTCCTAGTTATCCAACCTAGCTCATTTTCCTAAGAGACCTGGGATTTTAAATTTTTTTTCTTTTTTAAAGTAGCTTTATTAGTGAGACCTTTCAACCTTGGCTCCAGAGGATTAGTACTTTAGTATGCTAAGAAACCTGAGTAATTTGAAAACTTCTTAAATTTTTTAACTAAATCAAGCGTACATCCTAAGACTAATAAGTCTCTGGTGTCCCAGCAGTATTTTAACCTTCTTTCCTCTTAATATTTAGCCTACTAAAGAAACTTGGCAAAAAAATGAGGTAGTCAGTGTTCTGCAATTACTGTTCATGCTCACCAGTGATGTTTCACTATTACAGTCTTCAGCCATTTGTATCTATTTGTCCTCTTCTGCTTAAAAGCTCACCTCTTTTGCACAAGCATATTATTTTTCTTTTAAGCAGCATTTGACGTAATGAGGTCCTGGCAAACACCACAGCTTCTTCATTTTACATGTTGAGGCACATATTCAATGTATTAAAATATGGAATTAATCCTTTTGAGCTCAAAACCATGTTCCAGCTATGCTCATCTAGCTGTCTTTGAAGAGCCTCCCAGCTTTTTCCATTGGTAGCATGCACAAATGGTTTGAGCTGTCCTTGTTCCTGTGTTCCATACAGATCTGGATAATTTAGCTGGCCCTGCCATTTAACACCTCCTCCATATTTCAATCAAATTTATTATGTTACCTACATGCACACTGGAAATATGATTCCAGTAATGAAATCTGTTTATGGGGAGAGAGTCATGTGAGTCATAAACATGAAGCCTTTCTTTCTTTCTCTCACATTTTGGAAGTATAAGTTGTTATTTCCTTTCAACTTAACCTCATTAACAAGGAGACCAAAAAAGTCAGGAATAGCTGCAGCACTGCAAACAAACCATCTGAAGCATTCAGTTCTGAATCCTCCATGTGAGATGCACATGTTCTCTCAGCACTCAGAGCTGCAGCCTTGCCTTTTATTTTGTTTCTGTCCATTCCACTCTGCTTAGCAGACATGAAAGAGGAGAGAGGAAGAAAAGGGAAGACAAAGCTCCTCCTGGAGTAACTACACTGTCTTCTGTGATGGTGCTCATCCATCTTCATCTAACACTGCTGAATTCTGTATGTTACTATGCAGAATGTCAGAACATATTTCTGACTGAAGCATGCAGTGTTATGTGTAAATATTAGGGAATGAGACACATGAGATAATCATGTGAATTCATCACCATAATGAAAAACTCTTAACTGTAGATTCTTAATTATTGTTCAGATGAATCATTGCATGCAAATCTCTCTAGGCAATCAAGATGCTTCATGTTGCTGGCACTGCCATGGTATTATGTGGGCACAGTTAATAGGTAACTTATGTTCCAGATAATTTTCTAGTAGTAAATATCATTAAGGAAAAGAAGCTTATATAAGAAATTTTTCTCTAAAAATTTTCAAATAGGTTTTGTTTTAAACAGTTGCTTTCTTGCTCCATCACAAAAGTCAAGTTTTGCATTCAAAAACTGACTTTGCATTTCATTTGTACAGTTCACAAGATAGTTTTGATGGTCCTATGACTTAGCATCATGCTTACTGAAAACAGAAAGTCTGGTGAAGAATAAAAGATTTTTTTACACAGCTTCATAAACCATGAGGTTTGTATTAAGATTTGGATGGGCTTGCAATGTACAGTTTGCTCTAAATTGCTGCAATTCCTTTTTCTAGTATCGAGTTTCAGTGCAATGCTTGAAGCAGCTGCTACTGGTCAAAAGGACATTTTGTAAATGTAAGTCTGGATTATCTGTGCAAGTAAGTGTCCAAGTTTAAATCCTCTGCTCCCCACCACAGAGAAAATGAGCAAGGCTGGTTTTAAAAGGATCCTTTGTGTAGAACAAATGGAGTGGAGAGAATTTGTCTTTCAGCTTTTTTCCTGGTGCCATATCCAGATAATTTGTTAACATCTGTGGTCTTTAAAGAAAATGCAAATTCTTTCATTTTAGACCAAGTTAAATTTCTTAATTAGGAGGGTCAAGTTTCTCAAATCATATCTTGTATATTAGAAAAATAAGAGTATGATGTCCTCTGAACAATGAGTATCAGAGTGTTGAATGATTTTGTGTTATTTAAATTAGACTCCTTAATCTGTATTTAAGTCTAGGTAAAAGCCATCTGTCTTAAGGTCACACTTATGTATTTGTTTGCCTAGCATGAAGACGTGAGTCATTCACATTCATAAAAACCCCAAAACAACAAAGCTATGAACAAAGTAAAAAAAAAATCACTTTAGCTCCATTTTTCTTGTCTGGTTTTGTTTTCTTAACTTTCTTCCAATCAAATGTGTGTCTACATATGGACACCTGCTCTGGTGCTCAGCAGTGAAAACCTAAGTTATGCCTTAGAAACAGAAGATACTTGCACAAAAGAAGTTAGAAAAGCAAGTGAAGACATTAATGATTAGACCTACTAAAATGTATAGCTATGGTTGCTTGTTAACATGCAAGACTAGAATATCTTCTTAATATTTGGGCTTATTTTAAAGAATGTGATTTAGGAAAGAACTTTGGAAGATGCTGACACAAATCATGACACTGTGGACATGGTAAAAAATAGAATACATTAAAAATATTAAATTCTGGAAAGGAGCTTCATGTGAGTAGCTTGTAAATGATCTGATTTTAAAAAAATCAAAGTCCAAGTTGTGGTTTCACAGCAATGTTAAGTATCTGCACCTGCCAGAGACAGAATTCTACTCCAGAGTTCCCATATAGCACACAGACACCTTTTCACTGTGTCCTCTCATATTGTTTTTATGTTTCCTCCAAGCAATTCTGTGTATGATGCTCTATACACATTAAACTAATGTAATTAATTTTATGAGCAAATTGCAATGGATGGACACTTCTACACCTAGTAAAAACTTTCCTTTTTTTTGCCCTCTAGATTTTAATAAATTAATGATCTATGGATTCAAAGAACTAGCAGTACTTAACAAGTTTTGTGTGATTCCCTGTCATACAGTATTATTTGTAAATAATATAATCCAGTAATTCTGAGATGAAAAGGAGGAACAATTCAGTAATCTTATCATTAACTCTCAAGACACCTGTTTAAAATACAACTTATTCTGCAACTGAAAAAAGCTGTTTTGCCTTATCCTAGTTTGTGTTTGGAAATCACTGCCCACTGTTGTGGATCTGCCAGTCTGCTCAGCTGAGATGCAGGCCTAAAAAACTGCACAGTGCTCTTACTTCGGCAGGACGGAATCTCACAGTATTTCCAGTATATTCCATCTTCATGTTCTGCAATATAGCACCATGGGCTGACATCCCCATCAGGGTTTCTGAAAGAGAAAAACACTCAGTGAAATTCATCATTTTTTTTCAAAAAAGACACCAAAAAAATCAATCTTATTAAGCTTCAATGCCTTTACCATTTTTGCTCTAGTACCTACCAAAAAACTGCAAAGTTTTGCATTATCAGAAAGTTCAGATAGCTTTGGTTATTAGTATTCATCAAGCATAAGATGCTAGTAATGTCTAAAATATAGCTTTGTTTTACTCTAAGGTTAAAAGGTGCAGAGCTATTTCTGGTCAGTACTGACAGAGAGGAAGATTTTCTGTCCCACATCCTGTGTGCAGGTTCCATAGACTCATAAACTTGATTTTCTGCCTTGGTACAAAATAGTCCAGACTCCAACCTTCTGTGTGTATGGTGATAAAAAGACACAGCTGATAAAGTCTTCTGGGAAAGAATGAATTATTTTCCTCTCTTTCAATAAAACTGACTAATCCATTCCAGTGATCTCTTTATATTGATGGTAAATTCCTTATATGTCCATGATGATGATGATCACTATTTTTACAATTATTTGCTGTTGTGTAGCACCACTTACAAATGCATACCTAATTAGTCATTAGGTTATTTAAAGTTTTTTTCTATATACACTGTGAAAGACTATTCACATTGCAAAGATCTATTGAAGAGAATAAATTCTTATTTTGGACAGTCAGGTTTAACTATGACTTTTTCTTTTAACTAGGATCAGTTGCAATCTTTTTATCATGTGCTTTGGCATGAATTCTATAAATGACACAGCCCTACTGAAGTGTCAGTTCAGCTGCAAGTTGTCATTTACGCCTATTAACAACTCTTTTGTGGGAGATCCAATTTTAGAAATTCTGTGGATGTTTTTTTTGTCAAATAGCAGACTGCTGAAAACAACTGGTGGGCTCAGTGCAGTTTAGATGACTAAAATGTTGCTAGTTAGGCTTTCAAACAGATTAGTAGTGCACCAGGAAAGTCTAAGACTAGCTATGCTAGGAATTTAGGTGTAATGCAAGAGCCTCCAGTAGCTAAAAAAAGTAGAAGACTAAAACCAAGTGAAGCTTGTACTTGAACTAACCCATTTTCCCTTGTATCCAGAGTTACAGGAAAAATTACATCTTCATGACAGAAACCGTATGTCAGGAATTTAATAATGAGAATGGCATTCTACATAGAAATGCCTTAAAAATGCAAGGAAATTGGAGAGAAACATGATGAATGTCTTTAGAAATCTTTGTCTTCAACCTCAGAAGTGCATGGCAGTTAGAAAACAACTCTCTGTCTTTCAAAATCTCCAAAAATTTCAGTCCTCATAATTTTGTTATGGTTGAAGTGAGTGGAATGCTGAGGCATTTCCATCTGAACAGGGTGTCTTGCAGTAAACAAAGTATTCCAAGTAAGGACCACCCATGGAGAGGTAACATGCTTCTGATTAATACTTCAAGTGTAAAATTTGATTGTTCAAATGTTGTCCCCAAAATCAAATCTCAAGGCGATGTATTATGCCTTAAAGAAGCCTTGTGAGGTATGTGCTGCCTGAGAAAAGGGGAAAATCAACTTGTCCATTGTCATCAAGCAGATGAATGTCAGAGAAAGAACTAAACCAGCTGTATCACAGCCCTCAACAATATTTGCATGCTATAGATATACCCTGGCACTCTTAGTGACTTTCCAAGCTTTCTTTCAAGAGAATGTAAAGTAAAAAGCCATCCATTAGTTAGGACTGTCATTCCATACACCTGTGGCAAAGTGATGCAGTGTGAGGAAGAAAATGAGGATAATCTAATACCTAGCAGACTCAGGTAAAAAAGCTCTTTTTAGTAATTAAGTAATTTCTCAGGTTTGCATATCAGATTATAGGCTTCTTGCTTCTTGTAACATTTACCAAGTTCTCATTTGCTAGGTACAGCAAGTTTCAAGTGTTTTTTGACTATCTGGATAAACATTCAGTTTCTCATGCATGTTTTTGCACAGCTTGTACATGTTTTGCTTTGTACTAACCAAAATATTAGCCAGAGATGACTGCCAAAAGTAAGATCCTGTAGATACAGCCAGTCTAGAATATTGCCACACAGAAACAATCAAAATTGCATTCTTGATTCTGCTATTAATATCAAAGAATTCAGTGGCCACTGTGTTTTTCACAGCTCTGTATTAGTATGCCTACCGAGACACAGAGCTGAAAAAAAGCCTGCAGAGCCTAAACATCTCTGAACTTAAGTTCTGATTTGGCCCCTAAATTCTGAAGTTCTTATTTAAGTTTTGTTCTAAGTTCTATCCATAGTTATGGAGGACTTTGTCTAGAAGGCAAGGAAACAGAAGTGCATGTTTTAATGCACTTAATCCATGGTTTAATCTGGTATTGTAACCCCTGACAGATGAGCTTCTGAATTCAAACAACTCTATCACTGATGTTCAATTAGAATTTTTTGTCACTACAAAACTTTCATTAGCACAAAATTTGGGAAGTGTAACAGAACCAGGCTTGTGCGTGAAGATAAAGTCCATCCAGAGACTCTTCCAGACACTCACTGCACTGTGTCCCTCTAATTTTGATTTTTTTATCTCCACCTTTTCATTTAAGTAATTTGTAGTCTTTCTCTGTTATGCCACCTTATAAACTGGACACATGATAGAGACTGTGCTGAAAGTGTGGGAGCTGGGTTGGAAAAGTTATAGATTCAGGGTACTGATTACAGGGTAAACCAAAAACTGTTAGATACCCATGGTTTTGACATTCTTCACTGCCTGACAGGATGTTTCCCAATTTTCTGTCAACTGCTTAAAGTAACACTGGTATTCAGGCAATGCTAAAGCAATGGGATATTTCTTACCTGCAGTAGTTATGCTCCCCAAGGCCTCCCTCCCCATTGGGATATTTCACAGTGTTGTAAGGATGCTCAAAGGTCTCATTCCAAAAAAGACAAGGTTTCCCTGCATGTTGGGAGGTCTGGTTCTGAGTGCCACGATAGTCAGCGCCGTTTGCTGTATAGCACTCTGGGAAGAAAGAGAAATGGGAAAGAAAGAATGTATGTAGGTTTAGTGTTTGTTCCTCCCTCACCCTCCACCCCGTATCCAGCAGACCATGCTTCCTGCATTGTTTAGGCAGTTAAAGATGCTGGCTAGGATTTAAGCTTTCAGTCAAACCTCTATTCAAGAGATTATGATGTCATTACTTTAATAAACAATGTATAAGACAGGTCTGATGAGAGGTTTACACAATTAACATGCATCTTCTGAATAAGCATAATACTTTTTTACTTTTACTTTTCCTTGTGTTTTACTCATTAGGATGACTCTTGTTAATTTTCCAAAAATGAAATCATATGACATTATCAGTCTGCTACTTATCAGCATATTAACCAAAATCTCATGCCACTTCAGCTAAAATTGTGACTATCTGTACTTTACAAAGTGAAAGACTTGGATCTTACCAACATTTACATTCTGATTTAGAAAAATTCTTAGAGATTGAGTTGCCTTAGAAAGGGACCTCCTTCAACAGAGTATAATCACAATACTGTGATTTGCTATTAAAGCATTTATGCTTTCACATTAAAAAGTATGGGTCAGTATTCTTCTGCCCCACTCATATTTTCTCCCACTTAAGATTTGTTTTCCTGGCCTCCTAATACTCAGCACGTTAGAAACCGAAGTAGAGAATGATTTCATTAAACATTAGCCCCTTCTCAGCTGAACCATGAATTTCATGCTGCCTGGCTTTGCTGGGCCTTGTTAATCACAGAACTGTAGAATGGTTCAGGTTGAGAGGGATCTTAAAGATCATCCAGTTCCACCCCCCCTGCCATGGACATGTTCACTGGACATCTTCTGATGAATAAATATCCAAATGCATGAACAATTTTACTTTTGCTAAAATTGCCAAGCATTTTTGATTAAATTATGCAATGTGAGTGTGGCAGAGCATGGGAACAAGTTGCCCAGGGAGGCTGTAGAATCTGCATCCTTGGAGATATTCCAAAGGCACCGGGACATGGTCCTGGGCAACCTGCTTTAGGTGACTGTGCTTGAGCACAGCAGTTGGACAACATGACCTCCAGAGGTCACTTTCATCTCAACCATGCCGTGATTATCTCCCAGGAAGACTCATTATAATTAGTTTACTCATTATAAATAAGTCCATCCTGCTTATAATTAACAGTTGCTAACATTTATCATCCTTGCATTTATTTAACAGGATTAAAACATAACAGTCTGGGACAGAATTAAAACGGTTGTGTTACACTGCTGTAAACATTTCTTTGTACTGGACAGCATTACTGGGGAAATTCATTGAAAATTGGCTTTCTGCTAACTACAGGCTGTGAAAGCTCCTGTTTCATCTGATAGATGTTCTCTGTAGAAACCATACTGCAGCTGCAGAGATGTTCTACTGCCCTGAGGGAGTGGGAGAGTGCTCTGAAGTATGTGCTGATCTCAGGTGTCCCTCATGAAATCTAACTTACAAAACAAGTCTAGAAAGATCTGTGTAGCTGCAGTTGGAAGAGGGGAAAAAAAAAACCCACCTACATTTTAATCCTGATATTAACCGTACACTGTTTTTGTATTTAGAACTACTGTAGAAAAAGGAAAAATATATTATTAAAACCATGCCTCTGAAATTAGTTTAGTCTGGGCTCACAAATATCAGAATGGTACAATTATAATAATTATTTCAGAGTTCTATTACACAGCAGATGAAAGACAATGGTTTTGTGCTTTCACCGTGCATTTTCATGCCTAGGCAAGTTTGGATTTCTATTAAATGAAATTTTGTTGCTGAAGGCACTTAGAAGAGGTGTCTGCACAGCCATTAATATATTCTGTTATCATCTGTGGACAGAAAGGTGTATAATTTAACAAAAACAAGCTTCAGGTCAATACTCCTCCTTACTGTAATTTACCTGCCTTAGCAAAACAGGTGGGCTGCCGACATTTGCTTAAAAATGCAAATCTGAGTTTCCAGTATTGAGGCCACCACAGCTATTTGTGTAAACATTAAAAAAAAACCACTTTAAGGTCCTGACTGTGTAGCAACTTTCTTCAATACCTCTTTTACTTTGCAGTTAATATAAAAGTTTTTGTCATTTATAGCTGAAAAATATAAGCTGATGAATTTTAGCAGAAAAGAGAGAAAAATGTAATCAAAATAGATAAACAAAATAATAAGCAGCAAAAAGAATTTGTGAAAAGTGATAAGCACATCCAGAAAAGGTATCTACATTAGCTTTGTGCTTTTATTTTTTTTTTTTTGCCTCTCACTCCTAAATGAAAAGCAATATATACTTCTATCTACTCAGAAATTTAAGGAATGCTACAATATCTGAATTTAGTCTGGCAAACTAAACTGAAGTTAACTTAGTCCATTTTAGGATCTGCTAAGACTGGCCCGTGCTTTAACTTGCAGTAGTGACTGACTGACATTTTCGCGTCAGCATTTTTTTAACTGATTTTCTTCAAACTTCACTGCACTTTAAGATAAAAAAGGAAGAGTCAGAGCCTACCTATCTAGCCTACCTATCTCTCTTCATTCCTCTTAACTGCAGTTTTTGTTCCCCAGACAAAAGGTAGCTGTATCAGTGCCTCCTGTGTTCCTTTGTGCTATCAAGAGGTTTGGTGCAAATGTTTCAGCTGAGTTGAAACAAAGCTCCCCTGGCTTAGATGTGGATGTGGAAAGGGGAGGGGAGGCAGTGAGATACCACGGAAAATCATTGATTACCCCTGAAACTTAAAGTGAAAACTTTAAGTCATGGAATTTAGCAGCTGTTATGAAATGAAATACAAAACCTTCTGTGTTACAGGGAATTTGGACTTTCTTAAGGATTAATAACGACTTTGCCATAGTATGGGAGTTCAATATTTTCAAATAAATATTGGCATTTTAAAAAAATCAGGTCAGTTGTCCTTGCTATGCTCCCTCCTGGCTTCTTGTGCACCTGCTCACTGGCTAAGCATGGGAAACTGAGAAGTCCTTGATTTAGAGTAAGCACTACTTGGCAACAACAAAAAATTCTTCTGTTTATCACACGCAGTGATTTCATCATATTTTGCTGCATGACAGCCAAGACACTACTTAGTGATTTCACCATGAAATTAATACTCTCAATGTGCTGAAGGTGCATGTTTTGTCTGCAGAAAGACCATTGTCCTCTCTATTTCAAATCCAAGCCCTAAGAGATTCTGGAGAACAGGAGGTTAGAACCTCCACCCTACTTTTTGTCTTGTACCACTGATGCAATAATTCTGTAGAAAGATGAGCTTAAAAAAAGATGACCTAGATTTGTCTGCACAAAAACTAATTTAGATGAAGTCATCTAAATTAAACAGCCGGAAAAGACTGGACTGAACACTGTTGGTAAAACTCTTTGGCTTACTCACATCAGCTGATTTCTCTTTGGTAGATGATGCAAAAGGGAGGGGGAAAGGAGTAAATCAACCAGCAACAACCACCTCTCTTTGTTTGTGGCAGCCTTAGTTTAAGTGATACTTCCATGACACTTTAGGGTATGAAGCCCATCACTTGGAATGTAACATCAGAACTGTGACTCAAGAAAATTAATACTGGTTCTGTGAATTTCAGCAAGCCTTATTCCTTAAAGTTTTGTAAGATTATGGTAAACTGTGGCAGAACTTGCATTGTATCCAAGTCCTCTCCCAGTGGCAAGGACAGCAAGGGAAGAACAGAAACCTTGTGGACACTACAGCTGAGATCCCCCAAGAAGGCATCAGGTTGCCACTGTGCTTGATAGATTTGCCACATGGATTTTGTTCATGCACACAAGGCTCAGACTGTCCTGTCAGCTGTAAACCTCTACTAAAACACTAGGGTTTCAGACAGGACATGGAGAAAGCTGTGACCACTCAAATCTAGAAGTGTGTGATCTCATACTTCTAAGATCTTAGTCAGCTGGGTTTCAGACATAGTCTAAAGTAGAGGCTTATGTCAAATCTGTGATTAGAATCAGTGTCCACGATGATTTCACTCAATTAACTGCCTAATGACCCTGCTGCTTCTGCTGTGTCATGGGGATGTCTGTAAACAGAATTAATCAGAGATAATTAATCAGAGAACCTCTGCAGAGGTTCTAGTCACAAAAGGTTCCAACAGATGCTGTTCAGGCTCATGTTCATGAGCCTTGATGAGAAAACAGGGACAGCACTTTGTTGTCAGGGCTGTTTTGTTTTCAACACATCAGGTGCCATGGTTGACAGCAAGTAACTTTTAAAATGAATGCTGAGGCTAGGTAAGCATGTACTGAGTGACAACTGCTAGAACAAAAAAAGCAGAAAACAAGACCAGGGATGTTGTCCACTGTAAGTGAATACTCAGTGTGTGATACAGGTTCACAATTAGTTTTATTAGAGCCAGATCAACATTTGGAAGATCAAACAGCAGCTGTTGTAGAAATTCTTTCCATCTGTGTCGGTTTCTTCTTCAATGTAGGGACCTTACAATGATCATTTTCCTTTGTTACTTTGGGACTGCATGGCTGCCTGCACTCCACATGGACGCCACTTTAGGATCATTTGAAAAATTAAGGTAGTGCAGATATAACAGCCTGATGTTCTATTGATGATAAATCACTGACATTTCAGAGTCTGCATTGGCTTCCAATGATTTTCTCAAAGACATCTATCTAGAGACACTACAAATTGCAGACTGAAGGGATGGAGGTTTCAGGGTGGTTTAAATGACTTCTTAGAGTACTTTCCAAGTTTGAGGCCTGTACATAGCTTTTGAGACTGAAAATTCAGAATGACAAACTTCTTCCTATTCCACTGGAGAGAAGAAAAAAAAACAAACCAAACCACTTTGCTTCATGTTTTCGAAGCTACTTGGAGCACTGAGCAGTGTCCAGAGAGACTAACAACAATTATCAACCTGAAACTAGCCTACCCAAGCCAGAAATTATCTTACCACCTACTACCCAACAAAAGGCAAGGTTTTCTTTTAAGGATCTGCAGATTAATGAAAGATAAATGAAAGTGGCTACTATTTAAATCTTGGGTTTCATTACAGCAGTGTAATTAAATGTAAGGTTGGACCAAAAATTAAAGGTTCCTTGAATTTACGTGGTATAACTGCCTGCTCAGTTTTCACTTGTTTTTCCTAAAGCCTTTTAGAGAAGTCAGAAAAATGCTTAAGCAGAATTTAAGGGTATGAAACCAAGGGTGCCAGGTCCGATAATGACTCAGTGTGGGTTGCCTGATGCATGCGCTTGCAGAGTATTCCACGAATAATTTTAAGTCATTTCCATTCTATCTAAACTGTTCTAGCTCTTGCTGGAGATTGCAATTTGAGCACTCCTCCTTAAATGAAAGCACTGTATCTAGGTGCAGATGGCAACAGTTACAGGCACTAACCAGATGCTGCAGTCTCTAATTTGATTGAAAGGGTATAATTAGACAGCAGAAACACTTCAATGAGAAAGTAACGCACAGAGGAAAGGACAGAAACCACTTAACTGATGCCAAGATACCCCGGCAGTGACAGAGGCAGGGGCCCACGGGTGGAAGGGGCAGAACACCACATCACCTTCTTCAAATGAGAACATTTTTGTTTCCCCAGAGATGTGAATAGGGATTCTATTATCATAGGTTGCCACAGTTCTTCATGTGGGAACACTGATTAAAACCAGAAGAAGCTTCAGGAGATGAAAGACACAAATATGGCTTCTGTGGTCATTATTAAAAATATTTTTAGCATTGCAATGGTTTTCTTTGAAGATGCAGTTTTATCGACTGAACCAAAAGTTAATTTGCATACTATCATATGAGTGGTCAGGAAAAAAATCTCATTCCATATTATGATGCAAAGTAAATACTTTTGGGAAGTATAAGGCTGATTTAGATCTACCCGAGTGAAAAAATAATGCACTATTTTTGCATTTCAATACTTTTCTATTTCAATTCATACTAATATAATACAACCACTCATCAGAACTGTCAGGCTTCTGTGCCTGTGCTGTAACAGCAAGAACCCCCCACAATAGAACAGTTGATACAAGCTAAAGAAAAACCATCAAAAAAGAATTATCTTTGTTTAAAATAGCAATTATCAAAACTCCTGGAAAACAACTCCCCATTTCTTAAATCAGACAGTTCAATTTTGATGTGATGCTATGAGGGCACTTGATTAGCTGATCATTTTTTCCTTTACAATGTGGGGGCACTCGACATGTAATTTAAGAATTGTATCCTGCTCATTCTACATATCCATGCAAACACACACACAGACATACACATACAATTTTTGAAAGTCCTCAAATGCAATCATTTTTGCTAGTCAGAATTAGAGACCTAATTAGCATTGGTCCAAGCCAGAGAGTAGCCACAGTGAATATCTGATTATACTTGAATTATGCCACCTGAGATTTGATCAAGCCTTGACTGAAGCATCTGTCTTGTAAAAATGTACATTCCTGGAAATGTACAGACATGCAGAGTTGATACTTGTGCTCCCTGGCAGTGTGTGAGCTGTCATACACGTGAACTTGCTATCTTTGTGAAATTTTGACTTTAATCATCAAGCTAATCACTTTTCATCACTTTTTTTTGTTAAAAAATTCTGTCTGGCCAGACCTTTTCTGGACTATGTTGGAAGCAGACGAGTTAGGTTATGAGCACAAGAGACAGTTCCCATTATTTCTAAATGCATTCTGTCCCTTTTGTCTTTTTATTTGTACTACACAAACATGCTATATTAGCCAGAGCTTTGCAGCTGCTGGCTGGTCCTCAGCCACAAGATGCAAACACATTTGCTTGCCTTGTGATTCTTTATCTCTGGAAGTAAGAATGTGTGATGTGACCCCGTAAGAATTTCTGTTCCTTAATACACCCATTTGTTTTCTTACTTTGTGAAGTTTTAAAACTGTTGTTCCCTTGTCAAGTGTGGCAGGCTGAATCCCTTTGGCAATTTTATCAGGATGGGCCATAGCCACTGTGTGGATGAAGGGAGTGGTCAGCTGCACAACCATTATGGTGTGATATGACAAAAATGAAAATTTTGCAGCTGGCAGCATGTAATCCCTGCCTCCCTCCTACTTCTTTGGCTCCATCCTGCTTAAATCTATTCTCATAACTCTGGATTTTGAGTTATGCTCTATGCATGTACAAGCATGATATGCTGAAATGTCTGACTATTTCATCCCCTATCTGCCTAGTTAGAAAAAAAATTGCTTTTTTAAGTCTTTTCATGAGGTGAGGCTTGCTTATGGCATATCACGTAGAACTGCTTCTCTGAATCACCAAGGCACAGGCAGAATAAGATGACAAGAGATACCAGGTTTGTAAGAGAAGGCTGGAATAACAGCTCAAAGGAAAGGCTCAGCTGGGAAAAAAACCAAGGACATGGTGACTCAGTATTGCTAAATGGAAAGAAAACAGAGAAAGGAAAAAGAGATTGATAATCACATACATTTCTGATGGGGAAATTAAATGAATGGTATAAATGCAGAAACTACAAATTATAACTTATTGCACTGAGTATATAAAATAACATTTGTTCACCAAAACTAACATTTCCTGAAGGCATTTCCATTTCTTTGGCCTTGAAACACAAAACTCACCAAATTCAAACAGTCCTTTAATGGTAGGTAATCTATTCACACACTTCTTATTTCTGATCCACTTGAGAAATTATGTATGGCTGATGTTTGAATGCACAAATGCCAAGGTTTGAACGCAGAGATGTCAGTGTTTGAGTTAATAGAAACTGTTGAACATCGCATGGTGAAGCAGAAACATTAGGTGGAAAGTACCACAGTACTATGTGCAAAAACGGTTGTTAATTCACTTTCATTTCTGACAACTGCAGTAATTTTCCGTATAGTAATTCCAGAAGTTTTTCTCCTATCTTAGCAAATGATGGTGACACAGTCTTTATTTTGACTGCACTTACATTAAGCTTATAACAACATGCATTAAAAACCAAAACAAGGAGTAGGCATTAAAAACATACCATACAACAAACTGCCTTCCAAAAGCAACAGTAATGTTTGTCATTTCACAATTCTGCTAGTTTCAAGTGCAACCTGACACAGCTGATCCCATCCACTTCTGTGGGATTTGGGGTCAAGACGAGGACCCTGATGTGTACCTCGTGCAGATTAGGAACTCTGCAGATCCTGTACATGCCATATAAATTACAAGTTGCTGTACCTGCACTGTTTCCAGGTTCTTGAGCAGAAGACACATGGGTGGCAGTGCTTTCTAGATCCATTCTCCCTTGCTACACCTTCATTTGGAGGCATTATTAACGCTTCCCTCCTCCCCCTGTCCCAGCTGCTTGTGCTCAGGCATTTCTGTCCTCTTTAACAGCCAAACATTCACACTGGGCCATACCTTCCACTTGCTGTCACACTGCCCTCTGTGAGAGACATGGTTACACACGGAGTGTTCTGTTCAGAAACCTTGCAAGCAAACATTCTCCAACCTGAGCAAAGGAAGGAATATTCACTCTGTGCACTAAGCACGTCCTAATGGTACTGGGAAAAGACTCTTAGACATGGTCCCTGTCTAGGCAGCTCTCTAAATGCTTATCTAAAATACTCTCATGTTTTACTTCTGAGAAGAAATAAAATTTACCAGAATTTTTCTCGTAAAAGGTTTTTTATTCACTGAAAATGGCTAGGCAAGTATTTTCCGTTTCTAATTAGCTGCATCTACGAAAACTTGATGAGCAAGTATGTGTTCAAAAAGGAGAGCAAATTCTACTTTATAAGAAGAAACACCAATCAAGAATACACAAAATGTGTCCAGAAGGACCACACATCTGATGGCTGTGATGCTGCGACCATCTGGAACTGCCACTTCTGATCTTGCAAAGCATGGCCAATGTTTACCAGAGGAGAACCATAGCACTTGAAATCATTAGTAACAACTAAAACGAGAACAAAAGGGTGCCGAGAAATTTTAAGTGAAAAATCACCTTAGGAAGTGGAGCTTCAGGCTTCTAAACGGTGAGAGGAGCCCAGGCTCGGCCGGGAGCTGGGGCAGCACACCGCGGACAGGCGGGATGCTCACCCTTCAAGCTCTGGCTCTGCTGCCCCAAGTTCACATAACAATCGCACGCCCCTCTCCCTTTAAATGCCTCCATTCTGCAGACCTAGCTATCGACCCACTTTTATAGAGAAACGTGCTGCTCTTCTTTCCCTTACATCATGCTTTCACTGGAGATTCCGAGCTCCCAGCTCGGCAAGCGCGGGGAGAGCCTCAAGCACCCAGGGACTCCCGGCACAAACACCGCTGCTGCTCGCACGAGCAGCTTCGAGCCCGGCACGGCTCTGCCGAGCAGGAAGGGACGTCGTCGCGACCTCCAAGAGGCGCTGCCGGCCGGCAGAGCCCTTCCGCGGGGGGCTGCGGAGCTCGGGGAGAGGCTGCCCCGCTGCCTCGCCGCTCAGCCCGGCGAGGAGCTCGGGGAGCAGCCCCGATCGCGCCCCCCTCCCGGCTCCCCCGGAGCGGCACTCACCGGACAGAACGGGCTCGCGGCAGCAGCTCAGCGCCAGCCCGGAGAAGGCCAGGACGGCGGCGAGGGCGGGAGGCTCCATAGGCAGCGGCCGCCGGGCCGCGCCGCGCTCGCAGGCGGCAGCCCCGGCTCTCCGGGGGTGGCAGGCGGCCGGGAAGAGCGCAAAGTGCGGGAAGCGGAGGCCCTACAGCATGTGTCCTGTAAGTGCGCCCCGGCGAGGTGCCGAGTGGCAGATGAGGGATCCTATTACCAGCCATGTGACAGGAAAGGATAGAGACCGACATCCCAACCTGCTGCAGCGCGGGACCGCAGGGCTGCCGCTTCCACTTCTGACACCGACAGGTTCGGGCTGGTGGGTTCGCCCCGGGGCAGCGCTTTGGCCCCGCCGAGCCCTCCTCCTAGCCGGGACACCTCACTACAAACACACACACAAACACACAGACTCCTCCATCCCAGCAGCGACCCAAGCCCCGCTCTAGTCACTCCCCTCGTACCCAGTGTCCCGCGGAAGAGGTCGGGCAAGAGCCCGTCAGCCCCGTGGCCTGGCGCTGCCCTCCGCCCGCCGGGCCCCCGGGCGTGTCGGAGCCCATGGGCGAGCGCAGGTGCAGCCCGGCTCTCCTCTCCTGAAGCCGCGAAGGCACGGAAAGACACGGCACAGGGAGAGAGAGCTGCAAACTTTCTGAGGGACGCGGGCATGAGCGGCTCCGCGGGCGGCGAGGTGCCAGCGCCGCACGCTGCCTTTTGGGGCGTCGTTCTAAAAGTGAAAAGGCACCAGCCGCCCCACAGACGTGAGCGGGCTGCGGAGCCGTGCCGAGGGAGCGCTGGCAGAAAGCAGCGCGGCTGCTGAAGCCGCCGTGTCCCCCGTAGGCCGCGTCCCGGCGCGGGCGGAGCTGAGGCCGGGCGGGGGCCGCTGTCCCGGCCGCGGCTGGCAGGATGAGGCACAGGGACAGCCGCAGAGACAGGAACACAGACAGCCACACAAACAGGGACACAGCCGCACAGACAGGAACACACAGCCACACAGACAGCCACAGGAGCCCTCCAAGCCCAGGGACCTGGGACGCTGGCGGGAGGGCACGGACACGGGGACGTGAGGGGACACCCACGACTACAGCACAACACACACCCAGAGCGACAAACACAAACACAGCAGCTCCCCTGCCGAAAGGAGCATCGCTGCTTTCTGAAAATGCACGTGCAGAAAGATAGGGTTTGGGTTTGTGGTTTGTTTGGTTTGGGTTTTTTGTTTGTTTGTTTGTTCTCATCTACCTGAAGATACCAAAGGACAGAGTGTCGAGGTGGTAATGCCAAGCAGTCGTCTAACTTCTGCAAAGTCCTTACTTGGCCTGTGAGACATTTTAGTAATGATAGAACAGCTTTGCTAAGAATCAGCCAACATGAAAAAAAACCTCCCACACTAACAGTTAAAACAGCATGAAAAAAGTTGCTTTGTCAGGAACAGAAATAGGGCAAACATCCTTTGTACAAGGTACATCCTTGTACCCCCTTTACAACACTGCTGTGTAATCAAATAGCAACCCATACAGGCAGAGAACAATTTGCTATTCTGAAGAGGAACAATCAAAATACAGTTTGTAGGCCTTAACTATTGTATCAATACACAGTGTGGATGCATCTTACTTTTAGCACACAGAAATCTCCTTCCATATGAAGCTGTAAGGTTGATTTTGAGGAGGGAAATGTGCTTACATTTCTTTTGGCCTTTGTAACACATATAGAAAGCAAAAAATGGTCATATAGTAGCATGGCTTTACACATAAATTTTAATATCACAGCATAGTATGCCACATTCTTATTTCTTTGAGCTGAATTCGTAGTGAATGTAGCATTTTTAAGTGATGAAATACTGAAAAACAACAGCAGTGGTCTGTTAGCTTGGCAGTGGGTTGTTGTCTTTTTTTTGTGATAGGTTCAGAAGTATTTAGTTCTTCCTCACACATACAGTCTTCTTTCCAAGGGCCATAATCCCATTTTGTTTCCGTTCACTCAATTTCAATTCCATTTTATCTGGCATTCTATTACTTGTGGACACTGGAACAGAGAAGGCTTAAAAATTTGTAACAGTTGCTAACAAAGTTCAGAAAATCAACCATATCTCCATTTCAATCCACCAGTATTCCTAGGCAAAACCATTTTCATTCACTATGCTGCCCCCTTTCCCCACCAGTCAGTTTCACTTACAGTTGCTCAGTGTTTATACATCAGTTGTGCTTTTTTTACCTGTAGCACACTGGCAGCTTGTTGCCAGTGGTCATTAGTAAATTATTATTGTAAAAGTCATAACAGTTGCTATTTCTTTAGGAGGTTGATTTGTGTTTTCAGTTCAGTTAAGGCTTACCTCTCCTTTCTGCATAAATAACACAGACGTCCCAGGACTGCAAGGCCGACTATTCCAAATACACTGCCAATAACAATTACTTGTTTGATACCTGAAAAACAGAGACCAACCACAAAAAAACCCATGAAGACTTTGATATAGATTTCTTCATATCTGTTTGAATGCAGTCGCGTAACAATTTTTGAAATTGTACATATAATGTTAATTTTTCTGTTCTCTTTATTTGAGGAATTGCCTCCCTTGGCAGTAAATGATGTCCAGAGCCCCCTTCCAACCTTTCATCCTTTCAGATTCTCTGAAACTGGTAAAGATTAGGAGCTCACAGAATTCCTACATTTGAATGTTAGGACAGGTGGCTGCAAAAGCTTTCTAACACAAAGGGTGGCTAGTGGTTAATATGTAGTCAACATCCTGCATGTGCAATACTGACATGAAACTGTCAATCCCAACTGAAATGGTTTTCAATCCTTATTCCTTATAGTTTGATTACTTTAAATATTACCCCTATTTTGGCATTAAATTTTGAAACTACCTTTGCTGCTTAATAATCTACATAAAAGAGAATTGACTGCTCTGATGTGGGTACATTGAACTGCATCAGAGAGTTTGAACACACTAAAACACGAAAAGTGTCAACTTGATTCTGTGACTGCCTAACAAGGACACCTGAAAGAGAAAGAAACCGGATATGAAACAAATTTTGAATAAAAATTATCATTTTGTTTTCTTATTCTTCTAAGCAGTGGCAGATTACCATGACACATAAGAATATTTTTAAAAGTTAGGAGATGCAGCATGTGGAGTGAACTGTCTGGGAGAAACAAAAATTCCTGCATTTTGTATCTGAGCCTTAATACATCAGGGCTGTATTTTTGTCACCCCTTCCTTCCATCACTTTGTCACACCTGCCCAACCCACGGCCTAGCACACAGTGATGGCAGAGTGACAAAACACACACTTCTGTGATCCTAGAACAGATTATTCAGCTGGTAATTTAGTTCATAATGAAGTTTAAGGAATAAAATGGGATACATAATGTTTCACAAGCATTGATCCATCATCCAGGAACTTCTGAACAAGGCTTAATGTTTGTTTTACACATCCTTCACTGGGAGGCACCCAGTCTCTGCCAAGTGATGAGAACCCATCACTGGCTAAAATACTTAGTCCAGTAGTGATTTGACTCTGTTGTGAAATCTTTGTGTTATAAAAAAGCACAGAAGACTAATGAGATTTCTGACAGCTTTTCAAAATGAACAGCATTTACACAGAGCCTGAGACTGGAAAAGGAAATCTAAAAGTGAATAGAGGAGAGGGGGAGAAAGGAGAAAGTAGCCCAAAAGACAAACAAAACTAGATTGCCCTTAATATCACCATATTGTCTGTCTCAGAAAGACTGCATGTACTTATGTTGCCGCTATCTTATGATTTTTAGCTGGATATTACATCTCATTTTAGTAGAATCTCCTTTTTGCTTTTGGTGGATGGCTTCTTTGTTCTTCCTCTTTGTGATATTCTGTGAAGAGAGCTTGCAGTGGTACTGGCAAGACTTGCAGTGGGATTGTAATTAGAAGCATAGCAAAATAATTATTAGCAGAGGATTTCCATGGAAACTTTAGTCCAAGGAAGCAAAACTCAAAAACAACAATATGCAGGCCCAACAACATAATTTGTATTTGAAGTTTCGAAATACCGAAATGGATTTTGTAAAATAACTGGCATTTCATTTTCTTGCTTCCACCTCTTTCCCATCCAATTTTCCTGGATCCCATGCCTTTATTTTAAATATTCTCTTTTGAAAAGGCATATAGCAACTAAAAAACCCTTGATGATTTGCAAGACAGAGCTCGAATTTGATGTGCCACAAAACTGCAGCGTCATGAGCACAGCACTGTAAAGAAATACACCTGTAAGCTTGGAATAACAGAGGGCTGGGCCCTGTGTTCCTGACCAGCATGAAAGAAATAATTTGACAAGGTGTGTGTTTAATAGTTCACTTTCAAAGTAAAAAAGTGACTGCTGATAACAGTGGTTAGGTCAGTGGTCATCCATTCAGGCACCTAGAAATTGGGAAGGGCTGTCCATTAATTTTGTCAGCATTTTCCTGGTGTCAAGAAGGTCTTTGTCACGGGACTTGATAAAATGGATGTTGGTGAAACAGCAGCATGCTGCTGTGTAAAGAGAAAAACAATAAAGAAAACTGACCTCAGGAACAACAGATTTTGACAACACAAGGACCTCTTCTGTTCTGGAGAAGGCTTGGGGGATGGAGAATAGAGAAAATAGCCAAATAGAGAAGTATGACAAGGAAAACTGGCCCTGGATTTCAACTGTGTCTTGGACCAGAGGCAGAAATGTATTTAGTGGAAAGCAAGTACTAGCTGTCCATGATATAAAAATATGAGAAGTTTAGATATTAGTGAAAGAAACTTTGAACTGTATTGCCTCTCTTCTCTGTAGAGACCTGGGCCTGTCAATAAAATAGCATTCTCAGACAAACGCTGACATCTAGCAGAACACCTGATGGAAGAAGGAGAAGCAAGGCTGGCTGTACATGCCACTAGTAGGGCACAGCAGTAAGAAAAAAAGAATGGAGAAATTTGTGTTTTATATTGTGTTGCCCAGTTGTTGATGTTGCCAGTATCCTGCTGCTGTGGACAGCATTTCCATACTCCAACTTCCTGCAGCTAATAGAAACCATCAATTTTGGTTCACATTGCAAATGAACTAGAACACAAAATATCAAATAGTAAGGAAGATCTTTGTTGCAATCAGATCAATAAAATTCTTTCACACCTTGTTTTTCTTTGTCACCTTCCAGGAAAGCATTGGAAAACATTGTGGGTTTTGTTTGCTTATTCACAAAGCTGTGTCACGACTCCATCATTCTGAATTAAATCACTGCATATCTTCCAGCTCCTTTCCTCTGATCTCACAGGGCTGCCTTTCTGTCCCCCTTTTGCTAGTGTAAATGTCAGCATCTGTTTTGCTTATTGAGACTGACTGGCTCTTATCCAGTATGTATGTG